TAGGATAGAGACGTCTCTCCCTCTCTCTCTATCTATCTATTCATGAGGAGGGCGTTCACACTCCCAACACTCCCCCATTGTCTGCGCGGTCTTCAGATGCGGCAGACAACACAGCGGAGTGTGAAGCGATTAATCGTCACGCTGATCAGAGGCGCGAGTTAGTGATCACCACTTGACCGGGAAGGCCGCCAAGTGGGCCAGCACCGGTCACACATTGTGGCAGCAGTCAGCAGTTATCTGATAGCTAGAGCAGCAGCGTCAGGGTCGCAGGGTCGGATCATGTCAAGCCTCTCGCCCGGCCGGCCGCGTGCAGACGTCGGCCTGTCTGCTGTCTGGAGTGATCTGTCGGCGGTCAGTACGACCGATCAGGTTAGAGTTTTCTCATGCTTGGAGGGTCTATCTGTATGTACTCCTCGAGATCTCTCCAAATCTGCCCTCTACTCAACCGTACTCATTCGGGAAGTTGGTAGTATGAGCGAGTATGAGCGCCGGAGCCCCGTTTCCGCACTGCGGCGCGGCGCACGGTGCCTCCGGGGGCCCCCGCCTCCCCCCAGAGGGGACGACACTGCTCGATCTACCCCCTGGGGTCCCTCAGCAGCGTGCACCTCGATCCTGTACCGTGTTTGTTATGACCCCCCCCCATGAACACACCAGTGAGGGAGGGCGAGACGATCGAGGGGTCCCGTACCATGCGGAATCGACCCTATCCGGTGCTCAAGTGCTCAAGGAGCAAGGTGCGCAACAAGCTCTCGAAGCGGCAGCACGAGGACGAGGCGAGCTGGTCGACGCGGTCGTGGCTGTCGCTGCAGGCCCAGCGCATGTCAGTCGCGCTGCAGCTCGCGGCGGCGGAAGAGATTGCGACCGAGCTCAGGCTCGCCGCGGCGTCGGAGGACGCCGCCGTCGCCTAGACTCCCCTGCGTCACTACGTGCCTCCCCGTCTTTGTAGCCTGGCGTTTGTGCCCCGTTTGTGCCAGTGTTTTTAAAAAGATAAACCAGTTTTAACGCGATCGATTGCGGGGAGACGCTGAACCCTGCGCTCCGATGCTCCTCCTCTCGCTGTTCGCGACCTCCACCAGCAGCAGTTCCGTCGTCCGGCTGTCTCGGACCGTGGGCGAGCGGGGCAGCGGCCGCGGTCAGTTTGACGGCCCGCGGCACGTGGCCGCGCTGAAGACCGGCGGCGCTGTCATCGTGGACGGCCTCAACGAGCGCATTCAGGTCTTCGACCGGCACGGCGACTGCGTGCGCATCGTCGAGGGCGTCACCACGCCCACCGGCGTCGCGATCGGCGGCCCCGAGGGAGACACGCTCTACTGGGCCGAGTCGACGCGGGCGCATCGTGTCAACCGGCTGCAGCTGTCGGCAAAGTCTGCCCGGACGGCGGCGGATCCCGGCGTGGGCCGCCCGGCCGTGAGCGTGCGGAGGCCGTGGGCCTCGCGCCAGACCGCGAT